CCTGGGTGGGGGCTCGCTCTGCCCCATGGGAGGGGGGGCACCCAGCTCTTCCCTGCCTCCTCCCTGTTCTGCCCTCCTGGCCTTGCCACCTGTTCCCACGCCCTGTCCCCCACGCAGCACGCAGGCTCAAGAGAAGCAGGCGCTGGCTGGGCCCGAAGAGGCACCGGGGCAGGCGCTCAGGGAGCTCTGCCTGAGAGCCCAGGAAGTGCAGCAGGAGGGGCAACAGCTGCTGGACACCAGCCACGTCATGGCCCCAGAGGTGTACGCACTGAGGGCTAGGGCCAGGGTGGAGCGGGGACAGAGCCCCCTTTCCTGCTTCTCCCTGCTCCATGGCAACCCAGCCCTGCCCCACCCAGGTGGCACCCTGCCCACCCCACCCCCCAGCAGCCCTCTGCCCCCCCAGGTCACAGAATGTCTACAGGAGCTGAACAGGCAGCTGCAGGAGCTCCAGGAGGTCTGGGCCCTGCACCAGGAGCACTGCCAGGCGAGCCGGGACCAGCAGGAGCTGTGGTGAATGCTGGGTCAGGCCAAGGTCTGGCTGGCCTCCTGAGAGGACCTCCTGCAGGACCCTGACTGCGGGGTGAGCAGGGATCTGCCCCTTAGGCAGCCACATGGCTGGCACCAGGCCTGTTGCTCCAAGGGCTCCCTGGCCATTCCAGCGGGCCCCAGGAAAGGGGTTGTCCCCAGGGCAAGGCCTCACCCTGGCATGCTTCTCCCCAGTGCTCCGTGGGGCACATGGAGCTGCTGCTCCGCAGGCATCAGGACTTGAAAAGGCGGCTGGCAGCCCAGGAGGAGAAGCTCACCCAGCTCCAGATGGAGGTGAGGGTATGGAGAGCGGGGCTGAGGAGGGGTCCAAGGGCCTCTGCCTGCAATGGGGTCTCCAGAGCATTGACCCGCCCTGAGGGGCGCCCCTTCGGGAAGCAGGCACAGGGTCCTGTCCTCCGGGGGCAGTCTGGCTCTGTGGGGTACATCACAACTTCTTCTGCCCAACTGCTCCCTCCCCTCCTCCTCCTCCTGGTTTCCCCCTCTGAGAGCTGCCCCCAGAGTGAGCCCTGTGGGGCACAGAGGGTCACTATGGGTGGAGACCAATCAACAATCTCATGGGTGCAGAGCACGCTCTGAGGAGCAAAGGGGAGGTGACAATAGCTACAGAGAATCTGGGTGGAAGGAGGGTTTGTAATCCTTGTGGAGGCTGGGGGTGGGGCTGGTAGAGAGGGGGAATTGATGCCACAGGATCCTGTGGACTGAAAGTTAGGGCCCACGGTTGGCGGGGCAGAGGGAGTGCCTCATCCTCTGAGGCAGGAAGGTGGTCAGCTAGGTTGAGCACGGATGAAGGTGAGCAGGGGTTGCTGCAGTCACACAAATGTCGCACGGGAATCTCACTTTATTATAAAACGTTTGTTTCCTTTACAAAGCCAACTCTGGCAACTAGGACCCTCTCCCCGTCTGGAGCAGAGACGAGTGAAGAAAATCAAAGACCGAAGAAAACAACCAGTCCACGGGACTAACGACCACCAACACCACAGCCCTCCATCCATGTTATGTCCTGGAGACCAGAAGAGCTAGATGGTGCCCGGCCACCACCTCAAACTGCTCGGGCTGAGATCGCACTGGCAAGTTCTGCACAGCTAGAAAGCCAATGGAAGCCGACTTCATGAAGACAGCGGCATTGCTAGTTTGATAGGGACTGCTGGAACCCCGAGACCAGAGCCCTGAAGAGCCTTTCAAATCTAAAACAGAGCCCAGCTCCAGGAATCACCCCTCCCCAAGCAAGAGAGGAGCTGATAAAGTGAACACACAGCACCTGTGAGGCACATGCTTCTCAGAGCAACACGTCACCTGAGACCAAAGGGGAGCATTTGCCCTCAAAGTTCAGGAGGGAGGGAGGGAGGGGCCAGGGAGGAGGCACGAAGAGTGCTGTTATGAGGGCTGCAAACAAAATGGGAATAAATTGTTAAACTGCTCTGTATGCTTCTACTTAAAACCCTCTATGTTAAAATTCACATATATATCAGTCAAACCCAAGGTCAGAGAAAGGCACCCTGGAGATGCGCTGGTTGCACCTTGGGCTGCTGCTCATGGCAAGGGCATTGGTCTGAAACCCATCAGAAAGACGAGGCTAGGCTGTCTGCTCCCGCAAAGAGTTACAGCCTCCGAGAGCCACAGGGCCGTCACGTGCTGTCCTACAGGGCCTCGATGATAGAAATCGACTGGATGGCAATGATTTGAGTGCTTTGAAGGTCAGAAAACTTAGACAGCGATCTATAAACTTCCATATCTTCTGTAAGGTGTCTGTAACACAATAAAGGAAAACCATCGGTCTGCTCTCCAGATCTTCAATCAGGCCATTTCCAGGGAGCCCGGTCACGCACTGCCAGGCTGTGCCTCCTCAGCTGGCACTGCTGGGAAGCTGCTGTGGGCCCTGCGAGGGTGGGGAACTCTCCAGCCTGCTCCCGGCAAGAGAGGCACTAGGCCAAGGCTGGAAAGGCCCCAGTGGGGGGCGGGGGGGGGGGAGTTGAGGCAGTCACTGTCCCCCGCCTCTGACTCTCCTCAAGTGGCTGCTATGGTCACCCTTGACCTCGGGGAAAGCTGAGGGGTCACCAGGGCAGAAAGCACACTTTCTTTTTACCGTGAGGGCCATATCGGGTCTCAGTTCCACTGCTAATTAGCTGTGTGGTCTCAAGCAAGTAACCCAGCCTCTCTGGGCCTTAAATTGGTGCACCCAGATTCCCCAGTGCTATCTGGAGCCCCCAAAAGGGCCATGTACAGCCAGGCTGCTGCAGCTGGGCCAGAACTAACAGCTGCCTTCACCGTGCCCCGATGCCAGAAGCCCAGAACCCAAAGGCTGAGCTTTGCTGAGAGGTTGTCCGGCTCGACCTCTCAGCTCAGGTAGGGGTCCCGAGCTCCAGGGCTGCACAAGTTGCTCCCCTGAGTATGTGGCCCCAGGCCCCAGATGTGGGCACACAGAAGGCCAGTTCACCTCTCAGGACAGTGGTAGTGTGACTGGATGTGGACACTTCCTCGCAGCCTGCACCACCTGCTCGGGGCTCCTGGAGCAGGGTCCCAGATCTGCTCTGCACCTCCCACACCAGACACCCCATTGCCCTGGAACCTAGAGAACCCTCACACCCAAACGCCAGGGCAACCCACGGTCCCTGGCCAGCTTCTGGACCATGTCACTCCCTTCCCCAGACGTGACGGCTATCCCACCCACAGGCTCAGCCTTCTGCATTCATGCCTGCACGTGTGCATGTGTGTGTGTGCGCGCACAGACGCGAATGTGTGATGTGTGTTCATGTGTTTGTGGTATATGCGTGTCCATCCATCGGTGTGGTGTGTGCTCATCCAGGTGTGTTTATGGTATATGTGTGTCTGTCGCATGTCCATCCGTGTGTGTGTGTGTGGTGTGTGTCCATGCACACACACACACATCTGCAGACCGGTGCAGCCCTTCAGCCTCCTGCTGCTGGCTGGTCTGCGGAGAAAAGCAACCAGGCCCTCTCTGAACGCCTTGCCCACTGGGGCAGCATGGGGTTAGGGCAGCCTCCGTTGGCATAGTCCCAGCAAGCTTGCCTGGACATGGCCTCCTGGGATGCCTGCATCTGTGCCCTTTGGCCTGCCTTCTCCACTTCCCTCTCCAAACCAACCTCGACTCACAGTCCCCTGCGGCTCTCCTGAGGTACAGACCACGTCCCCCTCCCCCTCGGAGGGGAGAAGAGAATCTTCTTGTCAGGGGTCAGAGGGTGGAGGCAGAGGAGACAGCCAGGGCAAGGCTCTCTCTCTCTCTCTCTCAGGCACAAGCAGGAGCCCCTCTCTGCCCTCCCCCCACCCGCCCCTCCGCAGAAGTCAGTGTCCTTGGAATGTGCAGCAGCCCTCTCCCTGGGGCGGGAGGCCCCCCCCCCAGGTGCTCTGGGGGAGGGGACACTCAGAGCTGGATGAAAACAAGAGGGGACTAGAGACAGGAAGACACCACCTCTCCCCCAACAAATGCAGACCCCTTCCTTTGCCTAATCGCCCCACCCTCCACCAGTGCAGACATGCTGGGGCACCACCTTCGCTGTAATTGCCCACCTCCAGGCACTCTCCCATGGGGCCCATGGGGTCCAGTCCATGAATGGGATGAAGGGTTGGGGTGAAACCTCAGCCTAGACACAGGGGGTCTGAGCAGTCACTCCTGCCCTGACTCTCACCCTGTGCCCAGCCTGGGAGTCACTGGGCCGGAGGATTCAAGCAATGGGGGGAGGGGTGGGGGTGGGGTGTCATGAGAATCAAGGTGGTTACCACTAGAAGGAAGTGGGATGTTGTCAGGGAGGCGGGGGTGGGCGGGCACTGGGCCACATGTGCCCGGGGACCCAACATTCATTCACTGGGCCTCTCTGCTCCTCCCACAGGGGTGGGTGGGTAACCCCGGGGCTGTAGGTGAGGACTGCTCCATCCAGGTTACCACACGGAACCAGCCACGGACTGCTCATGCAGGCTCGCCACAGCCACCACACAGCGCCATGGCAACGGGCAGCTCCAGGTAAGAGACAGCCCCTCCGAGGTCACACCTTCCTAGCCTCTTCCCCAAGCTGCTCTGACCTCGGGTCAGGACCCCCCACCCCCACCAACAAAGAGGGCAGCTACTGGCTGTGAGTCTGCTCCTCTGGGCAGGGCGGGGATGCCCGAAGCAGACACCTCCTATGGGGCTTCCTGCTGGGAAAGGGTGGCACGGCACCGAGGGGCAGCTCTTTGCGGGCCGGAGAGATGTGTCCTTGTCTTGTTTCCTAAACCGGTTTTTGGTGGAGGCACCAATGGTCTCCCCACTCTTAGCAGCAATGACATCTCGGACAGTTGGTGGGATGAGTCCTATATTGTGTGCAGCCCCCGAGCCCCTGCATACAGCAATCAGAGCAGCAAGGGAGGGGCCCGGGACCCTCCCCGCGGTGCAGGCACTCTACACCGGGCCCAGCCACCCCCACCCCCCCACCCCCCATCCCATCTGCACCCCGAGTGCCACAGCACCTCTGTACCCCACCTCTCCCAGTGGTTGAAGAAGAGGCCCACTGTGGCCTGCTCCAGGGGCCCAGAGCCCAGGACCAGAGCAGCTGCTGAGCGGTGGCAGGGCCCCCTTGGGAGCCTCCGGTCCATCCCTCAGTTACAGCTTCCATTCACAGTGCACATGGCACTCTGTGAGGTGCTGCCAGCTCCTGCCCCGTCTGGGGTACCGAGGGCATACGCCCAAGGCTGGGAGGGGTGCCGCTGGGGCCACCCAGGTCCTCAGAGGCCCTGGAGCACTGGAGGATGCTCTCTGAGGCCGAGGCGTGGCCAGGCGGAGCTGCAGTGCCGTCCCTCGTGGTGTCACTCGGGGCCGGGCCGTTGGCGCTGCCTCCTCCTCTGCACAGCCTCGCGCAGGGCGGTCAGCAGCTGCTCCCGGTTGTTGCAGATGTTGTAGTGGGCCAGGCCAAGCAGTTTGTCCAAGTCCTCCCGGCTGTAGGTCACTTTCGAGTAGTGGTAGGGGGAGTCAGACGGAGACAGGTTCACCCGCCCGGCCTCCTGTTCCTCAGGTGTCCTGGGGACCCCTGTGTAGGGAAAGCACATTGTGGGCATGGAGGGGACGGATGTTGGGGCGGAGGGCGGGTCTGCTGGGTCACCTGAGCCGAGGTCGGGGAGGCTGGGACACCAGGAAGGGGGTGGGGGTGAGCTGGCTCACCAGGGGCCGAGTGGTCCCGGAAGGAGTCGTTGACCAGGGGGAAGTGCAGGATGACCGGGGCCTCAGGCCGGCCAGGGTCGGAGAACTTGTGGCACTCCTGAGGCTGGCGCTCCTCCTCAGGGCTGGGAGAGATGGGCGGGAACGGGATGCCTTGCTCTTGGCACATGCGGCCCACCAGCTGCAGCTGCTGCAGGGGCACAGACGGCAGGAGAGGGCTAGCATCAGGGTCCCTTGGTCCTGGTCACTGACATCACACAGGACCAAGCATCAGTCGGAGTGGACAGCCGTGCCGCAGCCCCTCGTTGCTCCACCAAACTGGACTGTCACCATTGCTGGGGCCAGCCATTAAGAGCCCAAACCTCTCACTAAATTAACACAGAAACTAAAAGCCGGGGACTCGGCGGCCTGCAACCAGCCAGGGTGCAGGTGCAGCCAACCAGCTTCACCATCACCCCTCCCCCCAGAGTGGAGAAAGCCCCCTGGAGGAGCCTAAAGGAAGCCCCCAGTTCCTTTCACAGGGAGCGCTGGTGGTGAAGCAGTGCTGGGCTGGGCTGGGCTCCGCGTGGCCAGCACTTGGAAACCACCAGCTGCTCCGAGGGGGAAAGGACGAGGACGATATTCCTGAACTGGTAACTGAGGGAATCTGGGAAGCTGGTATCCCACGGCGGGAAAGCCTCCACTTTGGTGGTCACAGATTCTCCCCTAACAGCCATGCTGCCTTCAAGTGAGCGCAGGGTTGATGTGCTCTCCCTACAGAAGCAGACTTCCTCTTGCTCTCTCTTCCTGCTGTCACCTAGCCCCGCTCCCAGCTCCCCCAATGCAACTGCTAGGGTTCCTCACCTGTGAGCTCAGGACCTTAATGTAGATCCCACCCACCTTGTGACGTATGTAACTACTGAATATGCATGTCTTAAGGCTACCTATAACTATCCCAAGACAGTACAGATGCTCTCTTCCCCCGGTTCCATCCACGTGGTCCATCAAGAGGAGTTGAGGTGAGCATGCTACCAAAAAATGTGTCTGACTCCTTTACTGTACTCTCTCTGCCCATCTCTCCTACCCTCTACGACTTTACTATGCCCTTTACTATTTTATCGCCATACAATTGTGCCTACTGACCCTTCGGTTGTTAGAGGCTGGTTTCCTCTGACAAACTGCTCCGTGGGCACTTTTACTCCCGTAAGCAGTTCGATCTCAGAAACGTGCAAGGGGGGTCCCGGTGAGTCAGCATGGACTCCGTGGTGGGGAGTCTGGTTTGGGGGGTTGGTTCTTTTCACACGGTGTGGTGGTTAGATGTTATGTCCACTTGGACCTGCGTGAAAGTGCAGGGGTGGAGTCCCACCTGTCAGTCAGGTGGGAGCCTGGTGATCCCTCCTTGGAAGGAGGGGAGATGCCGGGAGTTTCTCCTTCCTCCTCCCTGGGATTCTGTCTCCAGGGACGGCCCCATGGGGCCACCAGCCTGGAGAGCCGCCAACTTGGCCGTGCGCACGCCGGCCTGGGATCTGCCGGCATCCTGCTTCACTTATTTGCATATCTGTCTTCAGCTATGCAGAGAGTCTGAGGAAGGCTCTAACTAGCATGGCCTTGAATCACACTGGGCTGGGATGCCTTGCTGATCTAAAATGACTTCTTGATCTAAAGCTCTCTCTTCTACACAGAGGAGTGTGGCTGCTTTTGTTTCTATGGACAGCTCAGCCCATCCCATGTGGGTCCCTGTCTCGCAGGGTTAGGGGGAGGCCAGCAAGGACAGGCACACACTGTGAAGTCGCCCCAGCACCCTCGGGTGCCACTCATCAGCTACCCCCACCTGAAAGGCTGCATGCAGGTTGTAGTCCAGCGATAGGATGAGGTCCACGTCCCGGGTGGGCTGCAGGAGGGGCGGGCAGCTGGTGTTGACGAAGTAGCCTACGTCCAGCAGGCACAGGTGGGGCTCCCCAGGGGTCAGCTGGTTAGGGAGCCCATCCAGTTTGGTGGCTGGAGAGGTGGGCAGGGTGGGAGGGCAGCACTGAGCACCAGTGCTGAGGGCACCACACTCGCTCCCCTAGTCAGTGGCAGTCACCTGCTGCTCCTGGAAACAGACTCTTCCCTCAGGCCCCCACCCACCTGACCCCAGCCCTGCAGTGACCTCTAGCCCGGGCTCAAGGAGAAGTCAGGAAACTCCACTTCCCACATCCCATGGGGCCACGCTGGCCTGGAGTCTAGGGGTGGGGTGAGGGCCCGGGAAGGGGCCTGGAGCCAAGGCCCACAGCTCTGGGAAGACTTCAGGGGGCTGGGGCCCAGTGGGAGAAGCTACCTTTCCAGGAGGAGAAGTGAGGGTGCTGGAAATAGTCTTTGTGGAACTGGAGACCACGCAGAAAGTTGTGTGTGGCCTGGGCAAGCGGGCGCCGCGTCAGGAGGCCAGAGAAAAACTCCGCGATCCTCCCAGCCAGGCTGGGTGGCTCTTCCATCTTCAGCACAGGGACCTGCTCCTTGTCTACACAGCCAGGGAGTGGGGCTTATGGGCGCTATCCCAGCCCAAGGGCAGTGACCGCAGAGGGGGAAAGAGCTGAGACCAGTCCCCACCACCACACACACACACACACACACACACACACACACAGGCCTAGGAGTCACATGCTCACCCCAAGCACCA